AAATGGAATGGTGAGTGTTAGATGGGAGGTGCTTAGGGTATATGGCATGCAATTCAACAATGCCAGTCGAACGGTCTCTACTGAATTTAAGCAACCAGAAGTGCAGACCATGGAGGTGGGTTTCCACGTTCCACGAAAAGCCACCTTGTCTAACAGCAGCGCGATAAACTTCAAAGCCTATTCTTTCGCTCGCCTCAGGTGGGGCCTAATGTGCTTGTGCTGCGCGACTTGATATTGCTAATGCCAACTCAACGGTTTCGGTCCTTTTACATGCGCGATAGCTTGCACGTGGTGTGAAGTGTGCAAAGGTGTCCCATTACCGGTAAGCACCTAATCACTTCTTCTACCTGGGATTAGAGCAGACATGGGACACGGCAGCGCTTCGCAGCTCCCCGACTGGCATGACACGTTCATACGCATTGTGCTCCATCTCCTTGCGGAAGTGGTCTCCCTCGGAAAGTGGTTGCACTTTGGCATTGTCACTCATTGACCCTTCAGCTGTGAATTTCTTTCCACTACCGGTTTGCCCTTTTACTGGTCCAGTTCAGCTCACCTTTTTACTCCTTCATATCTACCCTTCACGCAACAATGCTGGTGTCTAGCATCGATCAGATTATTTCTCTTGGATGCAGCAGAGTGACGGTGGAGCATTGGTCGAACGATTGTAGCATAATCATGCACTGTATGACAGAGCTAGAAAGTGTTTGCAGAGCAAAGCCTGTGAATGTGAGAAGGTGGATGCCTGTGACACTAGTATTGGTGCACAGCTACTTGTGGCCTCAAGGGGTTGCTGCGCTCCACTTCCTCATTCGTGCCATCATTGCAATCACTGACTGCTATGCTAGACACACCTCTGTCTCACCATGCATAGGGGTGCATGGAATGAAAATAAGGTGAGATGGAAGAAGCACAGTCAATCGGCGGTTACTTCTAGTAGTGAATAATGAAGAGTAGCTTAATTCAGAACACTTGCATTCGATTCTGGAACTTTGTTTCAAAGCAATTACCCCAATAAAGACAAGTGTTTGTCGTTGGGGTGAAAACGAAGTAGCCGAATTTGATGATTATGCACCTGTCTCGCGAATGGAAGTGGTCATCAGTGAATGATTGCTTACCAAAGTGTAACCAGCATGCTGCAATGTTGTCCGATGGCAGTTGTTGACTGTAAAAACAGACGAATTCTATGCCAGTGTGCAGAGACAACCCACGATGACACCGTTCTAGCTTCTCTCTTTCCCCCGTTATCGACTTCTCGTTTCTTCTGCCCACTCAACCATCCCCTTCGTCCTCTCAGCCAAACAATTGTGCAACCTCACCATCACAATAAGGATGCGTTCAAAGTCATCGTCTTCAACAGAGTCAGCTGCAGCTTACTTTCGTCGGTTATAAGTCAATACTGAGTAATAATAAAGTCAGCTTCGATTCTAGCTGTAACGACTACAGCAATTACATTAATATCGACAGCAGCAAGGAAAGGAGCATCATTTACCACTAGACTGCCTACCCCACACCTGCAATCTGTCGTCTCTGACACCTAACTTTCAAACATTTTACTAACAAATGCAACTAAACGACCAGGTCATTTCCTCAATCTCGTCACCATGACTGCATATCATGTTTCCTAACTTTCAGTTTCTCCGACCACCTGACGCTGGATTTGTAACCCTCTTAACCCCATTTCTATAGCCAAAAATTTCAGTAGGATCTGGAGAGTGGCGGACATTTTCTTCTTGTTTCCGCAAAGTGGTTGCAACTCCATCTACATCATAATCACCGGTGACATGAAGGCCAACGCAGAGGCCAACAATAAGTCTCCAACTTCCACCAAATTTATGATTCCTTCTTTAAGACAACACCTTAGGTTCTCTCACAAACGTGTGCTCCTACAACGGACAATGCAGAGTTGTGTAGAGAAGAAGAGTGGATCAGCAAGTGGACAACGCATGCACCCACCCACGAAGATGGAGGACAGAGCGATGGTCCACCTGTTGGACACCAGAGACGGCGTGCTTTCACCCACTGCTGGTGAGTGTGGTGGTGCCACCTACCTCCTCACTTCCCTTCATCCTCCACTCCCTCACTTCTCTCGAATTTTCAGCTGCCTCACTCAGTAGCTTCCCGTTCCCATCACTTCCTACTTCTTCTCACCCTCTACCTTCCTTACTTCACCTCAACTCTGAAAGGCCATGTATTGGAATGCGTTGGAAGCATCCGCCATGTCAAAGCACACGACCTTAACTTCCGCCGTGACTAACCCACTACTGACCCAATTCCAAGTTGGCCAACAACGTCAATGACGTCCCACATCAGACTTGCCACCACGTTTCTCTCCACCACTCTACTCCCTGTTTCAACATCCATACTCATCCGTCCCTCTTTTCCACCAAGAAGTCACAACACTAACCCATCGCTAAGACTAATGTGCGCCAAGATATTCACTGAGGTCCACTAGTATACCCTTACCCTCACCCAGCGCCTCACACATTGCACGCAATGAATATCAACGCACCTTCATGTTGCATTGGAAACCTTAATAACCACATCTTTCCTTCGCCAGCAATTCTGCCAGGTACGTTAAAAAGGTAAACGGATACACAGATACAACGCTTACTTACTACAAAGAAAACAATGGAAAGTGCCATTCTACCAGTCGAATTGCAGCCCTTCCCCAAATAATAACACCTCACTACCCAAAACCCTTCTCTACTAAAATATCATATCCACCCAATGTTTCAAATCACTGTACACCATCATGCGATCATAGTTGGGGTCGAAATATAAAAAAGCGACGTTTTCAGCAGCAGCTACACCTCCTCCTTCTTCATTGCTTATTCCTGCAATAGCGGGATGAGTATAAGGCGCCTGGCTAAGCTGCAGGACTACGAAAAACCAACTCACTAGCCAAAATCCACCGCTACTAACACGGTACTGAAACAATACTTAATGCCTAAAATGAATCGCTCGGTGAAAAGTAAACGTGATTACGCACTACACTTGCAAAGCGAGGCCAAAGCGTTGGCCACGGCAAAGCGCACTGCAAGAGTGAACGAAGGACCATTCCCATGTCCAAAAGTACTATTCGTCAGGAGAAGACGAGTAATTAGGGCAAATCAGTGAATATGAATGGGGACTGCACACCCAATGCCGTGCAGTCTCGCGACCCGTCTAACGCTCTTACCAAACTGATTCACCTGGCAAACCTCCTTTACCGCACTGTCACCTGTGCAGTTCTTGTCATAACAAAATCCACATA